GACTATTATAGAAAAAAAATGAAACTAAAAGCAAATTAAGCCTGAAAGAATTAAATTTCTCTGTATTTTGTGAAAATGCCCTATAGTTTTTGTTTGTTGACAATATGCATTGTTAAAGACTAAAAAGTCCCTTCCAGAATAATCTTTTACTATGTCCACTGCTTTGCCAGACAATATTAAATGTTCATTCTTTTCCAATTATTGAAGATAAATATTAGTGATAAGACTTGAACAAGAAAAATATAATTGCAATAAAAAAAGAGTTCTTGAGAGATATTTTCATATCTTCTAAAGGATTCTGAAACTGATATTAATTCCATTGCCTGTGGAAGACCATTGTCATTACTTGTACTTCTATTATCTTTGCTTTTAATTTACATCTCTAGGAAAGTGATCTCTGCTTTCTTTGGGATCATAATTATGATTAGACTTTTCTTCTTTCATGGTAGACAATGTCCTTGCCACTCCCCTTGAAGTTTTTTTTCTAATATGCAATTGTTTTGTGATACCAGCAATCTTATTTTTTCAGTTACTATATTCCATTATAAAGTAAGTTCTGTGCAAACATTTTAGCATTCATAAAAGCTACTAGTCAGCAAAGCAAAAGAGTGGAGGTTTGTCCATTCACTAAAAATAGACATGGAGATTTTTCAAAAATTCTCATTGTATTCATGAATACCACAATAACTGTGAGTTAGATCCAATACAAGTACTTAAATATTAGGCACAGAAACCATAGTGCAGATTTCCAGAGTGAAATTTGAAAAGGTTTTCCGTAAAAATGTGAAAAATGTCAATCTGTTCATATTCTAGAGACAGCAGTGGTGTACTGCACTATTTCACTGGGTTGTTTTTTTCAGAAGGATCCTTCATAAAGCTATAGATGAAATTGCTGCTCAGAGTAGAAGGCATTTTGATACAGAAATGGTTCTTTATATGTAGGCAGAGAAAACCCCACAATCAAAAATTTGGTTCTAATTTCACGGAACAAACCAACATTCTAACACCCAGAAATCTCCATATCTATTTGCATAGATGGTCCTCTTTTGGGTCCAGCCCTAACAGCAGCAACATGGAAAAAAAATCACCAATGTAATGTCTTGTTTTGTTTTGCTTTGTTTTGTTTTAGAAAGCTTTTCTTCTGGAAGTGTTATTTATGGACCATGTAAATGACAGCACAAATTAGTTAAGAAAAGCTGCTTGGAGAGATCTGCACCTTGTGCTCAGGGGAACAGATTGTGATGTTTGTGAGAGTGCTACCTGCAGGAGCTCACCTGAGCCCGCAGCTCACCTGCCAGGGCTTTGCCTTCTGCACTCACCAGCTTTAGCACCGGAACAGAATTTCGCTGTGCCTAAGCAAAAAAGCTACACCACAGGGCTCTCAGAAAACTGTTTAGCCTTAGACCCCTAAGGCAATTAAGCTCTTTGATGTTTATACAGTTTTAAGAGAAGTCTGCAGAGAGACAGGAACACCTCTGAGGGGCTGAGAGGTGCCTGTCACTCAGGAGACGCGCACAGTACTCTGCACTGGCGTTTCCAAGGGACCCATGGCTTCAGGCCACATATGTTGTATTCCTGTAGCCCAGTAAAAGAGGTGACAAAATCAAGTATAAACAGGATCCTGGCTGCCAGGATGAAATGGAGACCTCCAGTCACCTAGAGATGGTAAGTTATTTGAGGATGTTGCTATGTGAAAGCTTATGGCATTACTTATCTTCAGCAGGCCTAGTAAAGAGAAAGCATTTCACAGGGAGAGAAGGATGAGAACACTTATACTCTAAAAGACAGAGGGAGAATCTTGAGCACACATCCAGAAAGCGGAAAAGCCCACTCAAAATTTGTTTTACTGTTCAGACAGGTGAAGCATGTTTGAATTTGGACCTTTTCTTATCTCTGTGTCTGCTTTATCCTTTAAGATACCAGATCTGGAGAAATCATCAGCTCCTTATCTGTTTTCTTACCAAAGATAGAAGACTCTCAGGATTCATGTCCACAGCCAGCCTGTGAGCTTTGAATAGTGAGGAAAATATTCCCAGCCAGCAGTTAGATACTCAGCTCCTTGGATGGAGCAATTTTAGGTCCAAACAACCATATCATCACTTCCAATTGCTTACAATTTAAACAGCCTTCAGCTTGTTTAGGTGACTTCTCTAAATTCTGTTTCTATAGCTTTGTGTCCCAATGCAATGGGAGTAAGGCCTAGGTCACTGATTTCCAAAGGAGGGATTGCAATGCTGAGCATGGTATTTTTATGGATTATGCCTTCCTCAAACATCAGGCAGCAGCACTTTCAGCCTAGCCCCTACACTGGCCCGTGGTGAGAAGACACATTGAACCCTTGTACAACTTGCCAACAATGTGCTAGAGCTTCAGACTCTGTGCACCTTCTGCAAAATTAAAAATGCACCTATGTCTATGGGAAAAGAGACAGGGTGATGCTGAAAGTTTTACCATTCTTACAGATGAAGTAAAGAGATGGAATATTTTCTTACACTATAAGTTTTCCTAACATGAGGAGTCATCAATAGAAAGATAAATTGGTCCTGATCTTAAAACCTAATAATTCCTTGGATTGCAGATTGAGACTGACAGAATGTTTCATTAAATAGAAGACTAATCCAGTTCAAATTAACTTCAGAGAAAACAGGATTGTAATCTCAGAAGCAACTGAGGTGATAGATCCTTCAATATGGGCCTCTTGAGAATTTGATGGATACCAAATTCAGTTCACATAGGGCTGGTTACACATCCTACTATTCTCAAGCTTTGCTCAATATGGAAAAAAAAATTACACCCTAGTTTTGAAAAGCTTTACATTCTATCATCAGTAATTCCAGCCTTCTAATACATTTGCATTTTGATTTAATAGAAGTTGAATATAAGTTTTATGTTTCAGAAAAACTATTTCAATATCTGTAAAGATTATAACATGAATCCTATTTCCTTAACTTGTCTGTTTTAAAAATTCAATGATACCTAAATAATTTTTTCAGAAGATTATGATGCAGTCCTTTCTTTAAGGGTCTCTGCTGGCTTCAGGTAAAATACTTGACAGTACCTCATCATTATTTCTGACTAAATATACTTTCCATATTATTATTCCTGAACTTTATTTCTGTCCAGACATACATATAACTCCTTGGCATTAACAGAAGTCCCAGAAAGCATGACAAGGATATAAATAATATTTCTATAATTCTATTTTTATATAAAAAAATTTCAGATTTTCTCAGTAATAATGAAATAGTCAGGAATTCTTACAGACCAATAAAAAGCTCAGAAAATATTATTATTTGTGTTTTGCATTAATGAATTTGTTAGAGCACAACTAAAAAGGTTAGTAGACTGACATGTAACTATTGATAGAATTCATACCACAAATACACAGTTAATTCTTAAAATGATTACAAAATATTTTCCCTCTATTATTAAACAACTGACCAACCTTTTTTCAGGGAAGGTTCCACTTCACCTAAACCAAGAGAAAAAAACAGATATCAGAGAAAAGATTTTTAAAAAAAACAAAACCAAAACCAAACCAAATCAAAAACTAAAAACCAAAATCAAACAAACAAAACAAACAAGTAAAAAAAACCACAAAACAAACATAAAACCAAAAAAGCACCAAAAAAGCAACTCATGTTTTTCATGTTGGCTCATTTTTTTCAAAAAATAATTTTTCTTCTTTATATGCTAAATGACAAGTACCTATTCTGAGATTTTTGATTTTTCATAAAAAAAATCTATCTTGACATAGAGCTTTGGGAAGATAAATTAGTTACTTAGCAGTAGCTAAGGAAATATCCAAATCTCTATCTGTGCTTCTGAAAATTAAGCTGTGACTACAATTAAAAATTTGCTTTACTTTATGCATGTTTCCACTTTTTAAGGAAAGGCTCATTGGATCTTTTTAAATTCCAAATAAAGTATATATGAAATTTAGCAAGATTGTAAATCTAGCAATGCTTCCAGTTAAACTCAAGGCAAAAAATAATCCATTTTACTTTAACTATAAGTACTTGATCGTGGCAATATGTTATTGCACCTCCATGTAGGGCACAGAATTTGAAGAAGTGATCCTGAATGACTGGCTAGTGTGCAGCCTCAGCTGCTCTGACTACAGCACAGAGTCGGCAGGGTGCTCAAAGCNTGAGGTGATAGATCCTTCAATATGGGCCTCTTGAGAATTTGATGGATACCAAATTCAGTTCACATAGGGCTGGTTACACATCCTACTATTCTCAAGCTTTGCTCAATATGGAAAAAAAAAATTACACCCTAGTTTTGAAAAGCTTTACATTCTATCATCAGTAATTCCAGCCTTCTAATACATTTGCATTTTGATTTAATAGAAGTTGAATATAAGTTTTATGTTTCAGAAAAACTATTTCAATATCTGTAAAGATTATAACATAAATCCTATTTCCTTAACTTGTCTGTTTTAAAAATTCAATGATACCTAAGTAATTTTTTCAGAAGATTATGATGCAGTCCTTTCTTTAAGGGTCTCTGCTGGCTTCAGGTAAAATACTTGACAGTACCTCATCATTATTTCTGACTAAATATACTTTCCATATTATTATTCCTGAACTTTATTTCTGTCCAGACATACATATAACTCCTTGGCATTAACAGAAGTCCCAGAAAGCATGACAAGGATATAAATAATATTTCTATAATTCTATTTTTATATAAAAAAATTTCAGATTTTCTCAGTAATAATGAAATAGTCAGGAATTCTTACAGACCAGTAAAAAGCTCAGAAAATATTATTATTTGTGTTTTGCATTAATGAATTTGTTAAAGCACAACTAAAAAGGTTAGTAGACTGACATGTAACTATTGATAGAATTCATACCACAGATACACAGTTAATTCTTAAAATGATTACAAAATATTTTCCCTCTATTATTAAACAACTGACCAACCTTTTTTATACACAGTTAATTCTTAAAATGATTACAAAATATTTTCCCTCTATTATTAAACAACTGACCAACCTTTTTTCAGGGAAGGTTCCACTTCACCTAAACCAAGAGAAAAAAACAGATATCAGAGAAAAGATTTTTAAAAAAAACAAAACCAAAACCAAACCAAATCAAAAACTAAAAACCAAAATCAAACAAACAAAACAAACAAGTAAAAAAAACCACAAAACAAACATAAAACCAAAAAAGCACCAAAAAAGCAACTCATGTTTTTCATGTTGGCTCATTTTTTTCAAAAAATAATTTTTCTTCTTTATATGCTAAATGACAAGTACCTATTCTGAGATTTTTGATTTTTCATAAAAAAAATCTATCTTGACATAGAGCTTTGGGAAGATAAATTAGTTACTTAGCAGTAGCTAAGGAAATATCCAAATCTCTATCTGTGCTTCTGAAAATTAAGCTGTGACTACAATTAAAAATTTGCTTTACTTTATGCATGTTTCCACTTTTTAAGGAAAGGCTCATTGGATCTTTTTAAATTCCAAATAAAGTATATATGAAATTTAGCAAGATTGTAAATCTAGCAATGCTTCCAGTTAAACTCAAGGCAAAAAATAATCCATTTTACTTTAACTATAAGTACTTGATCGTGGCAATATGTTATTGCACCTCCATGTAGGGCACAGAATTTGAAGAAGTGATCCTGAATGACTGGCTAGTGTGCAGCCTCAGCTGCTCTGACTACAGCACAGAGTCGGCAGGGTGCTCAAAGCACTTAATTTTTGTGATATACTACAGTAAGATGCCTTACTGCCTATTCACACTCCTGGTTGATGAAGAAATTCCACTTGGGTGAAATACTGCCAGAGTTAAGGTTTCCAAATCTAGTGAACATCAGATCTTGCTTTTTTTCTCTCAGGTATTTTATGACTTTTCCTACTGCCATTAACTCCTAGACACTCGAGTGTTTGGAAGTTTGCACATGCTTTGGGAGCTATGAAATGCTAAAAATGCACACTGATCAAATTTTAGCAAGCTCTCTATATTTCATCTTTTCTGTTTGTCAACCTTTGGAGAGGCTGGCTATCTGCTAGTTATAAATCATATCTCAGAGTAGGATGCCCAATTCACAGACTCACACGAAGCAGCCTATCTATTAGCATTCAGATACAGTGTTATATAAAAAGCTCATGCTTTTTATATATATTGATATATATTCTCACATATTTAAAAGGTAAACACTTTGTAATATCGCTCAGGTTTCTGAACAAATGAGTAGAAGTCAGTTTCAGTACATGTCGCTTTTTAATTATATTCTGGTGTAGCCAAATGGAATATAAAATAAACTACCGTGAAATGAAGATGTCACTCCTACACTTATCGCTTGTCAGAATGACCAATATGATGTGACATGATGATCCACTACTGACTATGAGCAATCTCTGCTCATACTGGGGAACTAGAGTTCATTTTTTTGTTTGTTTTTGTCTTTTGTTTTTTATTAACAGAAGGAGAGTAATCAAAATATTAGTAATTTGCTTTCATTTATCTGATTATCTCAGATGAAGAATGGTACTGTAATGGCAGAACTATAATTTCTAGTAAACTGAATTTTTTGCAATACACCATCCAAAGTCCTGTAAGTTCAGTTGAAATGTCATATATTTTTTTTCTTTTCAATATATTGCCCGTTATCATTATGTCAAATTAAAAAATGTTCTAAATTTCTTGAAGTATCTTGCATATTTTCCAGGGTTCTTTAGATTCTTGGATTAAAAGAAAATAGTTATTTCCATTCTCTGAAGCAATATCCTGATGCATATTTTGGCTGTAGCTTTGAAGTTGTATATAAATTAGTGCTCTTCTCTTCAAGATGTACTAATGGTAATATTTAATTCCGAGAGTTTTTCTGTAATAGTACATTAAACATGAGATGAAAGCTAACGAAGAGACCAATTTACTGACTGGAGTAGCCGCTGGATGCTTTATTAGCAACAATGTTCATTTTCCTTTTGTTTGACCTTCTTGTCTGTGAGGTTAAAAGCTGAGTAAGCCATTTTAATGCGTGTAAAACAGCAGTTAGAGCGGTTACAGAAGTCTTTACATTACAAATACCTTCATCACTGTCATCATCATCACTCCATACGATGTCAGACAGTAAAGAAAAAAAGCCATAAATCCAATCAGAAGATTCTTCCAGTGTCTCATGAATGATTCTCAGTGGTTCTGTGCTGAGCTTGTGAACAGATCTTCCTGAGTGCAGAGTTTAAAACAAAAGTGATTTGAAAACGAACCCAAACCAAACAACTTCTTCAGTAATAAAAGTTAATCTTCATTTTATACAGGACTAATTATACTACCTCTTTTAGCAGATACAAGGATTGTGAATGTTAATTTTTTATTATTCAAGCATTTGAGGACAGCTCTCCTCTTTCTAATATTCTTAATTTTAGATAAATTCTTCATTTCAGCCCAGTTTTTAATCTGACTCAGATCTCCTGCCTCTTGATGCCCAGCTAGGATTCAGTCCCACTCATGTCATATCTCCCCACTGAGCTCCTTCTTTCACGCAAGTATTGGCTGAATAAATTGCTGAGCCTTGGATTAACTACAAAGACAGGTCATGTCATTGTCGTGGACCACACATACAGGATGGGAAGAAGAAAGCTGTGCATACACAAGCTGAAATTAACCTGAGTTCTTACTAAACAGGGATGCAAATCCAGATAGTGGCACAGAGACAGCTGCTTTCAAACACATACTCCTGTGTTTCTGGTTCCTCTTTCACAACTTTTCTAGAATTACTTTCAAATACACTTGTGCACATGTGCATACTTAACTTGTTCTGGTCTTACTGCCTCTGTAGACAAGCAAATTGGGGAACAAGGGAGCTGTGAAGTTTCATGTCCTTCACCTTCCTGGAACCTCTGATGGAAGTGAGACTTCTGCTCCCCACTGTTTCCACACTCAGGCAGTGCAGCCATCAGTGGGTAATACTAGTATTCCCTTAAAGGCTTCTCCACGTGGGATTTCACCAGATTTCTCTGTACCTTACACACTACTTCAGTGGGACATTCCAGCCTCTGACAGCTTTTTCTTCTGACTATTCTGTACAGCAATTTCCTATTTTCTTGAACTTTATACCAAACATTGCTTAGGAGGAGGGACAACCCTCATTCAGCCTATGTTACTTCCCACTGTGCTTGAAACTGCAGACTGAGTGATTGCCTTGTCTGTGCAAAGATTTTCTACAAATATAAACCACTGAATGTAGACTATAAATGTGATTTGAACTTTTGGCCTAGTTTTGCTCCTAGGACTTTCGATAGGAATAGGTACACTGAGTTTAACAGTATCAAGGTGGGAACCATACCTTGGTTTCACATTGTCTTTCTGAAGGTAAATATTTTAGTAGGAGGCTAAAGACAAGTCTCTTCAGAACTACTTCTGATTGCAGTGTTCTGACTCACAAGCCAAATCAGCATTAATCAGAAACAGTCTCACATGGACTTTCAGGCTAAAAATCATGCAAGGTGCCAGCTTAAAGGAACATTATCAGTGACAGCAGTATGAACAGTTATTTTATAAAAGTGTTGCAATGAAACTTAGATGTAGCTTTATTTGAAATAGTAATCCATTACTAAATGGCTCATTTTATTTCTAATTAATTATTCTGAAACACAAGAGACCAGGCTGACTTCTTATTGGTTTGCACCTGCTTTTGCTAATGCAGACAAAAGAAATATTGTTGTTAATATTTTGTAAATATTGTATTTTATAGGTGTATGCTGCTGAACAATCTGACACATCAAATAAATTAAAGATGTGTCATGATGCAATGACATAATTGCAAAGAAATTAATTTAGTGTACTACTGTGCGCACCATTTTATTCAGAAAGATTGAGCAGTAAACCAACAAATATCTACTTTGTTTAGCATGACACTTATTTGTTTGCACTGTATTAATGCATTGAGATGTAGAGATTTAATTTTTTCAAGTGATTTGCCACAAGTTGTCTTCTCAAGCGTTAACCAGGATAACAAATACCTCTACTTAGGCTCTTAAAAACTAAATTTGTGACCTGATCCCTGATGCCATTTGCACTTTTTTCTAATCTAGAAGTGCTAAGGAGTCAAAGTGGACTGATAGAATGGACGTGGCCAGAGGTGTCTTAGAAAAATCAAGATTTCGATTCACAAGCAGGGATGGTTTAACTTTGGACAGCTGCCTCAAATTTCAGTGTGGCTGTCCACCCTCCTTTTACCCACTGGCTGCTCAGGGAGGGCTCAGCTGCTTTTACAGCCACAGGTTTTTACAGCCACAGGGAGTACAGCTGTAAACTAGACAAGAACTGGTATCAATTTATTTTAATATACTGGTCTATCAACTAGAAGTTCAAGACCTGCTTCTGCTTCACAGGTAGCAGAGCTGTCCCCCCTGGGCAGGCAAGGGAAACGCTCAGAGAAGTGCAAGATCAAGAGCAGAGGAAATTATTCCAACCACCCCAAGGCAAGCCATCTTTGCTGATGAATCAGTCTTCAACATCATATCCTGGTCTTTAATTCATAACATCTTCATACCACACTACGAAAAGGGATTAGAAATGATAAGTGTCCAGAGGCAAAATTGTGTGTTCAGTCATGCCTATGCTAACAGGCCGAGTTGCAAATCCTGTTTGACGTAGAAAGTTTAGAAAAATCAGTTTGGAGCTGCGTAGAGGACACTTTATTGGTGTTTGCAAAATTAAATTTTGTATTCAAACATACTGTGAGCTCACTTGAGATCTGAAACAAGTGGCACAGACATGGGAAATTATGTCCTTTTGCACAGATCTTCTGTTTAACTTGTGTTGCATTTCCAAAATTTTTTAACAGTAGTGCTTATAGCAATGATGTGTTCTAGAGTTCTTAAGAACACCTCACAGAGTAATGCTGAAGTGAAAATTACGACTGATTAAATCCATGGTTTTAGTTCTCCCTACAACTTTGACAATACCAGGTGCTACGAGGTCCGTAGCAGAATGAAATACACTAAAAACAAACTAAATTAAACAATTCTGGTGTTAACAAATACAGAGAAAGATTCAATTTGCCTCACACACATGCAAAGAAAGACAACCCTTTCCACAAGACTTGCATACTCTTGCTTTAAAAACAAAGCTGAAAGAATTCAGATTTTCATAACAAAATTTGAACTTGGCATTTTTTAATTTAGAGATGTTCAGCAGTTGAAAAACATGATGAGATTTTTTTAGTCATCCTGTAGTCAACATATTCAACTGGATTATCAGTCTTCTATCCAGTTTGTAATTTCTTAGCAAATCTTAGAAGACTAATTATTTTAAAAGTGAGCTCACAATATATTTCTTTTGATAACATATGGTGCATAATATAGAATTTTAACTAATCTGTAGCTGTAACTAATATTATTATAGACTAATATAATTAATCCAAGCTGTGATTAATACATCATCATATAAAATCCATTGCTCTGGAAGTAGAGTGGGCAGGACTTTGAATTTAAATTTTAAAGAGCCTTTATCTATACAGAATACTTCTTAGATAGATACAGATGTGTGAAGTTTTACCTTTGTTTTACTTTTAGATAAGGATTGAGACAATTTTTTGTCTTAGATAAAATAGTAAACAATTAATAAATGCATGTTGAAGGAGGGGAAAGGAAGTAAATGGTTCCTGAGAAGGTTAAGTTCAAACATTAAACATACAATTAATATTGAAGAATTTAGTTGACACTAGGCAATTACCTTTAATCACAGTTTAAATTCAGATTATCCTGTTTACTGAAATATACGTAAAAGGGTACTGAATCCCTGGTGGTTCCTAAGCTCCCTCAAATGCCAGTGCAGAAAGTCATATTGTGATCTTCAGAAGGCAAGTGTCTCTCTTTCCTCTGAAATCTGTTTTAGGGTTACATGAACTGCTTTCCAAAGATACTCACTCCTTCCATTGACTAAAAAAGAAGTCTGAAGAATTAGCATGGACATGTCACCTTATTTTCATATTACTGAGGTATGTGACATGGATCCTGCTAGTGATGCTGTTTCAGATTTAAATCTTTCTTGTTATTGTACACTTTGACTAAGCACTTAGATTTGTAGCTTTACATTCATAATTAATTTCAGGTCTATACAACTATTCTCCTTGATAAATTACTTACATTCCAGAGCAGCACTGATTCCACAAAAATGCTTTGCTAGAACACTTTGTTTGTCAAAGACTTTTATTACTTGGCACAGTATAAAAGATGCTTTTCAGATCAGTAGAAGTTCCTCTTTTTTTGTGCATGTTCATCACTATGAGAACAGTACCAGTTTTGTTGTTTTCTTTTTGGAGGAAACATCAGAATTACAGAAGCTTCTGGAAAATGTGGAAATTTGGAAGAGTTAAAGCTGACAGAGGAAGAATTCCAATCAAATGGGAGGAATTTGTATATTAACTTACAAAGAAACTTTAATGTAGGACAACTCAATTGAATTTGATTGGAGAATGTTTCTTAGCTGTTGGAGATATCTGGAAGATTACTTGGATTTTCTATACTAAACATATGCAAATATCTTTAAAATAATTATTTAGGAAGTCGTTTCAGATGTGTTGTAGGTATTAAATACTTCTTAAAAATCCCTATGTAATTTGAAGCAGCACATTTAGTGTTACAATTCCTTGTAGTTCTCTAGCATTATTAATACAGAAACAGCAATTTGATTAAAAATGTGAGAACAACAATTCTGAACAATTAATTTATTCATTTCTGAAGTCTCCCTGGCTCACAATCTTAATTCCAAATCATTTTAAATGCAAATTTCTAACCTTAACGGTAATTAATAACTCACACTTAATACAGCTACTTGAAACCAGGCAATGGCAAAGTTCTCAAGTCCTGCAATTGGCATTAGGTATGTTCTTGTTAACAAGAAGATAGAATGTAATTTTCATAATGTGACAAATCGTTTTTTACAGAAAACCCTTTTTTTTCCATCAGGACTGATAATGGGTACTTTAAAAGTGATTTTTGGATACAAGAATTGAGTAATCACATGGTATGATTCGCTGTAGCCTCCAGAGCAAATTTAGTTAAGTTTAATAGTCTGTATCATTTATTCCTGTGAAGTGTACAACAAAAAGTGACTAATTGATTATCTGTGCAAATCACTTCAGTCATTATTCGAGTCTTAATAACTCTGACAGAAATGTAACTTCCTATCAATCTTTTTTAGCTTTTCAAATAGTTAAATGTCTACTCAGAGTTGAACCTATGTTAAGGCAGCTTTTTTTTTTTTTTAATGAATCATAGCAAATTAGTTAATAATTGTTGGATTTTCATCAATTACATATTTTGACTCCAGTGAATTGAATGCAATTAAGTTAAAAATGATGGTAATTATCTGGTGCAAAGATTGATCTATGAGATATAAACTAATTCATTGACACTGACAAGGTACAGCTGATGAAGACAGAATTTCTGTTGTGTTTGATAAAATACAAAAGCCTAACAATAGCTTGAGATAATAAAACATATGCTATTTTTAGTAAAATATTCTGTTATGAATATAGAGACCTGTATTTTAATTTGAAAGTTTATATATTTGTAAGTTTCTTTCATTCTACTCGGTGATCTTTTGAAAAGTATCATCTAAAATACTAAACTCAATACACACATAGTCTCCTATTATTAACATTCCAGTTTATCAACAAAAATGTCCTTAGGACTTACGCTTCTGTTTCATAGACTAACATTTTTATCAAGCTTAGAGCTCTAGGTCATAAACAGGTAAAACTCTGGTTGGTACCATTATTACTATAAAATTACTATAATTTTATAGTAATATAAAATTATAGAGATACTAATTATTAGTATAAAAATACTAATTGAATTTTTAATTATATTACATATAATTATCTGGCAAAGAAAGTGCAGAGTCAGCTTTCTCACTAATTTCCGTTTTATAAGTATGTATATTGTAAATATTATGACTACAGCCTGTAGCTGTCTCTTTCTAATATCAACCTTAGATAATTATCTGAGGACACATTCATAGAGGAAACCTCACCTGAGAGTCAACAAAGAAGCAGTTATAACTAGAATTTACTTGCCAAAACTTAAAAAGAAATTCACAAACTCACAAAGTAACTCAGTAATTTCAGGTCCATTTGATATAGCCCTACATGTTGATAGGACTGTATGTTTAGTATGGGCTTTAAGTATAGTTTATATGACTTGATTTGATATCAGCTGGAAGATTTTGATTTGATAGTTCAGATCTTCATTAGGTGGTGTTTTCTGAAACACATTTTATCTAAAATAATTTGAAGCTTCATTTTGTTTCATTCTATGGGTTCACTTCTCTGACTAAGAGCACAGATCTTCAGATGAAAAAGCTGTTAGATAATTGTACAACAGCATTTTTAAAGGGTGTTTAAGGTGTAAAATTAGTACCTCCGCTTGACACCATTTCCTGTGACTCTCCTGGCTGGGGGCATCTCCTAGCTGTCAGATCAGTTTCAAGCATGATGTGAAAATGAGGAGTAGGCTGTTGCAAGCCCCAGCCAGGCGGAGTTGGGGTTAGCCGAGAAGCAGTGCTGCCGTGCCCTGGCCTCTGCTCGTGCCCATGCTCTGCTATCATCCACACACATACTCAGAACACTGCAGGCAGAAGGACTTTACCAGGTGGGAAACAGGGATCATCGCAATGTTGTGAATAGGTGGCTATACCTGATGGCAACAGGATGAGCCCCAGAAAGGTCAATAGAAAAAAGGAAGAAACACCATTAGTAATAATGAATGTTCTCAGCTATCTCTTGGCTAAAGGAAGCACTTAAGGAGTGAAGTGAGGAGTTGTTTAATCTCTGTGGGGCTGCTGTTTTGTGGCAGAAATTTGAGTTTATTTAAAAGAGAAACAATATGCTGTAAGTGTGAGATAATACAGTGTGAATCACAGCAAGGTAAAAACGTGGTCAAAGCACAGTATTTTCACAAGTCACAAACAAATTCTATTGCTGAAAAGAATATATTATATATAGGTGATTCTTGTTGAGTTTCTTCAATTTCTTCAACAGAAAATAACCAAAGAATTGCATCACTGCAATTGTTACTGAAATGAATTACTGGTTTGGTTTGTTTGTTTAAAATTATAAATTTCACAGATACCATTATGCACTGGAAATTTGCTTTGTGTTTTGTGTCCCATGAAGAATATTTAGGCATGAAGTCTCCTCTTAAATCCTTCCCTATACATTGAAGCGGTTTCTGGAATTTCATATTTTCAACTACATAACCTCACAAAGTTTGATCTATCAAAATTTGTCTTTTATACACTGGACCTTTTGGGATGAAAGCAGCACTTGTAATACTGCAATAGTTCATAGACTGTCATTCTTTTCAGTATAAACTCATTTTCTAGGGGTTTATAACTCAGCTATGAAATCTGCTGCAGACTGAAACTTGAGAAACCAGATGTCATCTGAGCAACCCTTCTTTAAACTGGAATTGGGCTTAAATCCCTTTAATGGATTTTATCATGGAAGAGAAAAAATGTTTTGTAGGTTTTAGGTACATTAATTGAAGCCTCATATAATTCAATTAAGAAATTCATTAAGAACTTTGAAATAGATAAGCTGTTCAATCATGCTTTGAATTGAAATTTATAAATACAGCAAGAAATGTCTTGCAGAAGACTGTAGCACTGTTTTGATAAATTCTAAAGTAGGAGGCTTGTCTAGGGCTTTGCAGGTTGTTTTTTTTTAAGTTTTTTTTGCAGGTTTTATTTTTTCCATTAAGTTTGCTGGTGGTTTAAACTAATCCAGAAGTGCATTCTTTTTCATGATTAAATGTAAATGTATTTTCAGTTTTAAAGCTGGTGGATATATAGTCATAAAACACAAGAGCAAAAACAGGTAGTCTTCTTTTTGTAGTTCTTAAAACTTTCCAGTGAACATTAGCCCAACTGGGTGACTACAGTGAGATGATATTAGAGGGGAAAAAGTATGTTTATAGGAAATACAATATATTCCCTATAATGATTATATACTCCCCAAGGCCAGACAAAGTCCATCTGTGGCTGCAAGATAGTAATAAAAATGACCACAAGTTCAGGCAGGGAAATGGTGACTTCAGACTGTGTTATTCAGAAGCTACTCTGGGAGGCCCCAACATTTGGCCAGATGTTTTACATTAACTTAAAAAAGAATTAAAAAAATATAATTAAAGAAAGCATGTGACTGTATGGGAGCTCCATATACTGTTAACTCCTCATTCCTAAAGGCATACCTCAAAAAAAAAGATCTGCCTTTGCTACAGGTCTCTAAAAAGCCCCTTTATGTGAGCAAAACAAATTATCTCTAACAAAGAGTGTACTCATGGGGTTGTTTTACTTATGAAAACAACATAGCAAGCTCATTCTGCTAAGTGTGTTGTGTGTGTTTTTTATATTTTCACTTATATTATTTTGTAGGTAATTTTGGGTTTCATAGATTTGGTGAGGTTTCATTAGGTTTGATTTAGTCTGGCCTTTAGGTGACTGGCTAAATCACTGTCAATTTACTCTGTATATTGAACACTCTGGATCTGAAATTAGGGGGATGTTAATTAGCTGTAATTGGTCACAGAGATGGCAGGGAATTTTGAACGCTCTATTAGAGTTATGGAGCCAGTTAAAAAGGTGTGTTTTCTAACACAAAGGATGGAAGTAATGAACTGTTGCAAAGCACGCATAAAACCAAAACTAATTTTTTTATTCATTTCTGAAAATATTGAAAATAGAAGGGATCCTGCAATGTGACATACTACTTATTCCATAATAGCACACTGTGTACTACATGAGATTTGTAGTTTCTTCTCTCACGTTTTTGTAATGCATGTCATCTTCTTACCGCATTAGAAATATTTCAGTCATGTCCAGAGTTGTACAATACAGCATGGTAGGAATGCAAGCTTTCATTCGATTCCTCAAAGAAATAAGCATAATGCACTAAAGCACAACATTGCAAAATTTAATTTCCTTTTTCTGGGTAGATAGAAAAGAGGTGAAACTTTCAGTACAGATCTAAGTCTTGTCTCATACTTTCCTTGAAATCCACTGCTAAAGCTAAAGCTGATTTGCAGATTCTATCCCTGCCCTAACTTCTGAATAAACTGACACATAATTGCCCATTTATTTCATAATCACCCAGGAAGCAAAGCTTTACACATGCAACCTGTGACACGCGGTCCCCCTGTTATGATATATTTCATATCATAACCAGCACCTCCTGGGTAATACAGAGTGCTATAGAATTTACAGCCATCATGTTCTGGATGTGTAAAATTATGCAAAACTGTATCTTAAATCTTTCTATGAGCGGAGCTTGAATTCATGTAATATAACTTCACTTACCTGAACCCTAAGCCTTAACCCCCCGCAGCCTCCCTCAGTTTTTTAAACTACTTTACAAATGCTGAATAAAGATGGCCAGCAAAACGTAATTTATCACATACACTTTAGGATGAAACTAAACATTGCTTTTTCATGTCATTCTGGGACAAATTTCATCTTTGATAAATTGTCAAAATTTCTCAAACTTGATAGTTTATTTATAAAAGAATGTGAAACCATAGCCATCAGGAGACAAAACCTAAGGGTTGGCACTGTAATCACAGAGGGTGGCCTGGAGTTCATACTGATAAATTAAAATATAAAAGCTAAAATACATATACTTTTTGTCTTTTGGAATTGTTTGCATTTCAGATAATGAGAGTAAAATTGTTAATTATTGAAGGAAAGGAATGCTCAGGTTCAAGTTTAGGGTACTTCCTACTCAGTTCACGTGTAGTGTTTTTACTGAGCTCCGTGATTCTCTGCGTACTTTTGGCAACATAATCTAGGGCATTGCACTCCCTGTATTTTCCAGAGGTTAGCAGCTCTTTAGTGTAATCAGGGGGAAAAAAATCCACATCTATTCCTCAGCCACACATTTCTCTGACTGGTTTACCAGGTCAGCCTGCCCTGCTTTCTGCTGCACTCCCTCCTGCGTGGTGCAGTCGCTGCTGTGGGGACGGTCATTTCTGGCACAGAAACGCAGCAGAAGTCCCTGTGGGAGCCCATAGATCAGAATCCTCTGTCACAGCTTTGTAAGTGCCCTTCAGAAATCTGCAGGCTGCTCCTCGGTCACCCTCCTGTCTCCTCTAGGCTGAGTTCAGCTCTCCCAGCCTGCCTCATTATATGCGATGCATACTTCCTCAGCTTGAACTTCATGGAACTTCAGGTAGAGAAATGGGAAAGAAATTGAATGCACTGGCTTATGAAAGGCAAGTGTTCTTTGAGGAAAAATGCACTGAATTTTCTCTGTTTTATGGAGTTAAAAAGCACACAGCTGAATACAGTTTATTTGGCATCTTTCATTTGCATTTGAAAACTAGGAAATTAATTTTACTTATGCTTGCAAAACTAAATATACAGTCCTGAATATAGCTATTTTCTCTTTTTATGTAGGTCTGGTTTTTCAAAGAACAATATCAAAACCAAGACAAAAAGATTACTGGGTTTTGGATTTAAGGAGCCACTTAGACATATGCTTCAAATTCTACTTTCTATATGAAAAGGAGACATTACTTCCACTGTAGGCAAGCTGTCCAAAAGTGAAAACCATTTTTGTATCAATAATGCCAGCTATGTGATTCTATGTAAAATCCTCAGCTATTTTCATGGAATTTTTACAAATCAATGAGTTTAACTCAAAAAAAACCCCAAAAAAACAGCGAGAAATCAGGAGTGAAAAGCTAGGGGTTATGATGACAGCTATGCAACTATTCTTACATGTATAGAAACACAGAAAACAGTCTAATAAATCCTGGTCTAAAGAAGTACAGCAGTTCCTTCTGATAATGTTTGACCAAGATCTGATTTGAATGCTGTCTTAATTAATCACTTAGGAACAGAAAGATTGCTGGGAAGGAAAGGAAACAAACACATGAACTCAAAATGCTAAAGTATCATTTCTCAGAGACCTTCACAAAATAAAAACTCATCCTACAGATTAAATTTTACATTGTTTAATTTCTAAATCGTGGTCTGAAAATGGCAGTTTCCCTCAACACTAATGAGATTTAAGTTCATTTAACCAATACAATGTGAACAGAATTCCATCTGCTTGGAAAGTTTCCTTCAGACTCTGGTAAAAATATGGATTCTTTTTGCTTAGCATTACCCTGACTTGTTTATTAAGCATGTGTGACCTGACAACCAATTCAGAAATTTCTGTGTTTAAGAGTTTAGTCTGAGCTGTGCCCTAGCTCTTGACTGTTCATTGAAAACATATTAAGAACTTGATTAACTGACTGACTGATTAATATTTAATATGGAAAAATGAAGCTGAATATGACAATTTCTGTTTCTTGGTTTTTCTCTTTGTTGTAGCATCAAGTGTTTGGTGTACAAACAAAAAATCTGATGCTTCTTTTGGAAGGATCTCTCAAAAATAACTTTATGTTTTCCTGGTACTCCAGAGATGTCCTTCTGAACACAAAGATGAGAAAAAAGATTAGGAAAAGTTTTGTGGTACATTTTCTCCACCTTTCAAGCTCTGTGATGTCTATTGATCCAGGATTTGTTGGTTTCTTTCAAGATCTATATGTGTTTCAAAACCTTTCTAAGTAAATCTTGAAGTCAATATTGATATATAGCAGGACAAAAAAAAAAAAAAATCTATGAATTTATCAGTAAACTAATTAAGTCCAGGAAATTTACTCCAAAACATCAACTCAATTTCTTTTGAATTAAAAGGCTGAAGTCCAAATTTCAATTCCTAGTTAATTATTGTGACAGATGCAATAACTTTAGAGCTGGCGTTCTCATTTAAGGAAGACAAGGACCCTAATTATTTGTTTTCTGGTTCACATGCATGTTTGCCAACAGTTAATGTCTGTTCACCTCACAAAGATTTTACTACTGACATCTTACTGAACACTACGTACCCTTTACAACGATTATATATATAACTGCCAGATGAAAAGCAGAAATATTCTATTTCTTTCTATTTTCCGTTCCTTTTCTCTTGCTCAATTAGAATCACAGTTCTTGTACCACCCACATCATTTTCATCTTTGCCCACAGTAATCAATACGTAACCTAAAGCTTGATTTTGTTCATTTATCTAGCCAAGTCTCAAAATTAGGCTTATTGAGTTATTGGCTTATTGAAAACTAGGGTTAGTCTTAGCTAATATTGAGAATCTGGTCCTCTTATGATTTTTGAAGATCAGTTTATGGGTTATTATGTTATTTTTTTTCTGATCATCGAACTGCGTAAGCAGATATCAGAATGCTCAAGGCAACTATTAAAGACTTTATATTTCTGAAAATAGGAATTAATACTAATTTTGTTTTTCTATAAAAAAAAATTATATAGAAAATGGAAAACAGAAATCTGACCTTACATGCTCATATACATTTTACATTACTGTCAATATATTAATTTTCCAGGATGAGAATGGGCTGCAAAATGGAGAGACTTCAATTATAAAGGTGTATGAGGTGTAAACTAATGTGTTCTGACATTTCTCACAATATCTTCTCTGTTGGTAAATTCAGCAGAGACACTGTTCTGTCCCCAAGGAGTTGAGACACAGGCATACGTACATAATAGATGGTGCTTAATAAATGTTTAAATCTGAGTATACAAGGTGTCAAATAGAATATGTTGAGTTTTACCTGCTAAGTCTTTGTAATCCACCAAGTCAAACATTACAATAGCTACTGCTGACCAGGTAACAATCAGAGCAACAACAAGAAGCCATGCTGCTGGTGAGCTGAACGTTGTCACGATGTCTTCAGTCACTGATTTCTTGCCCACTTTCATGGATGACGAAGGAACAGATCCGTTCTTACCATCTATTATTGTCGTGGTTGTTGACATGTGTCCTAGACAGACAAAACAGAGGAAAACGATGTGACAACCTGAAGCCTTAAAGCCAAGAATGTAAATGCTGTTTTGAATTTTTTTTTTGTCATCAGAATGTTTAAAATAAATATAAATGTTGTATTACTAAAAAAAGGTCCTTGCACTTTCTGGAAGAAATAGTCACAACCAGCCTTTTTTATTACAATATGACATTTTTTAGTCTGCCACAAATAGCTACAGGCCTAGGAGAGTGATTGATGAAAACATAAAATATTATTACCCTCCAAAGGATTGTCTTGTTACGGGCTGTAGGCCAGATTCTCAGGTGATGTGATTAAGTGAACTTCCATTGACTTTAATGGAGCTAATGCATCTATGCCACTTGAGGTTTGGCTGGAATTCTGCTGTGAAGGACGTGTATCAGTAGCAATGGAAATAGATTTACTTCATTTCATCTAACAGAAAAACAAATGATTGCCATGGCCAGAATCCTTAAAAGCTATGAATAAGATTGCAGCTGATTTTTAAATAACTTTGTTTGTGGAATTTTTCACTTAATGAAGTAATCTCCTAAGAAACAAGAGTTACAATGTCCAAACAGACTTGATTCCAGAAAACATAGGTTTGGTAATAAAAGGCTGGTAGGAAGTTGAATGCTACTTAGCTAAGTGACCAGCTGACACATGTGAACTATGTAGTGGACAGTAACAGTATTGGCTTAACCTACTTCTTCCTGAGCTATTAAAAATGCTAGTTCTGGACACAAACACTAGTTCTGGACACAAATCAAAACTATGGTAACTGAAAACTAATGGTGTTTGAAAGTTCTCAACTTAATTTGCTTCATAGAATATGCTTTGATAACCTAAACAATCTAGGGAGGTATTTTTTCTCCATTGTATACAATAATGGTAGAAGTATTCCTAACACCACAGTTGAAACTAGTAGAAGCCTATGGTATTTCCACAGAGTTTGCAGTATGTTCTTGTATGCTGCAGTTAAAATCTTCAAAGATATATTACACATGTTCTTGGTCTGGTTGTTCACACCAGTTTGTAAAAATTAATTTTAGTGATTTAAGGGACCCTTGCCCACACAGATATCTAAAATTTCAAGGGATCAGGTGTCTGCTGGTTTGTGTAAATCTTTGCTTTTCACTTGTCTTCTGTCACAGTTGATGTAAACTATAAAACTGATGTTTTCTGTGTGACAGAGTTGTTGTATATGAAGGCAAGCAGATTCAATTTCACTTTTGACATAGAAAATGACAAATAGACACTGATATACTTTTGCTGTAATTATGGTACAGGCTGTTGAAGACTTTCCAACATTTGCCATCACAACTTGTACTTAGACTGTCTTTGAAAATTACAACATTTATATTCTTAAATAATAAATGAAGAAAGGATAAAATCATTAATATTGCCAATAGATACACAAATACATTTTTCATTCCTATTTTACCCAAACAAATCTTACAATCCTTTTGCTAATGAATATTGGATTTTATCCCTTCCCGTAGAATGTTAAAACAAAATACAAAAGTGGTACTGAAATGGCCCTTTTATGTATCTGACAAAAACATATATAATTGGGAAGGGTAATTTTGGTGGAAGAGGTTCCCTAATTCCTAATCTGTCATATTTGATGAGTTTTAAAATTCCTACCTTAATCTGTTCTAGAATTCTTTTTTTTTTTTTAGTTTTCCTATGCAGTGCATTGTATTAATGAGTAGTTTCCTTAGCTCTGCCTTTTAATTTTGCTTATGCACATGTATCTTGTGCTGATCAGTGCCTTGCTTCAAGCCCTGAAAAACTGCTCTGCTACACAAGAGTTGTAAAAGCAAAACAAGATTGGCATGTTACATTTTTTTGTTACTTATTTGAAATTTATTCCTATTTATAGAATATTTATAGAATATTTATTCTGCATATAAATAATAGTTATCTTCTAAGATAGAATGTATATATTTTTTGAAAAATATTATAGTACCATCACTGCTTCCATTTCTCCAAACAAAGATTTTAGATCAAGCAATCACAGCAGGAGGAAAAATCTGCCAAGTGACAACTAACAATAAAGATCAACTTCTTAAGTTAAATTCAAAATCAATAGCATTTTGTAATTCTACTGCATACAAGATGCAAGTAATTCTTGCATGTAACAGGTCATAAATGACACATTATGCATTTTTTCCCCCTTGGGGATATCAGTCAGAGTTTATGATGTGTAAGAGAGAATAGAAAGGTACTGTCTCATCTTGACAAATCTGATTAGTACCACAGCATGTCTTCAAGGACATCCTAGTGGCAGATATTTGCAGTTATAATACAAACAATTAAAACTCTATGTGTGAATACAAATACAGACTTAAAATTACCAGCCAAAGCATCAGTCCTCTAGGTCTGTTGCTATGTAAAAATATTTCCTTACTATTTAGAATACCTAACTTTTCAAACTCAGACCAATACATGTCTTCTTTGGTGAAGAAAATAGTAACTGATGATTTATCAATCAGAGCAATGCTTCAGAGACAGAGCTAAAGTATGCTAGAAGGTTATCTATGGCAAGCTTTTGGCTGTTGATGTAGTCAAGTCACATTTCCCCTTAAAAACTCAGGATATTATGCAATAAAACTGCTATCATTGCATTTATTAAAATGTGAGTGAACAGCTATTGATTCAAATTTGACTGGAAGTCAAGCTAGGAAAATACTGTTATACTGTTGGATGTTCCTGATACAGGTGCTTGCAGTGTGATTCAGGGACCTAAGAAACATCTCCAGTGTTGTTTGAAATGCTTTACATACATCAAAGACATCCTCACAGGACTGGCAGGCAAAATCTACAGGACAGTTACTTTGGAAATGCCAAAAAAAAACCCAGACAGGATGTACTAAAGCAAATAGAAATTAGATTTTTATGTCCCTAGATACCTATATAAGCAAAATTGGCTGGAGGATTTGATCTGACGACTCCTGAGAAAGACATTGTTTGCTGCTATGTAATCTCAAGCAGGATGGATTGTATATTGATACCATCATCATTTCATGACTCCAAAATGCAGAGGCAGTAACACTGAGATGATCTCACTCTTCCTCCAAACATTCTATTATTGTAGTACCCAAGTGCTATACTCATGCTTTTCTCTGCCTGTTTCTTGCTTTTTGGTTTCTAGGTGCTCTGTTCATTTTTGTGCACCTCCTACCAGTGCTAACTTTCCCTGCAAACCATCAGTGATGATATTTACAGAGCTAGACAACAGAAAAAAGGGGATATATTTACAAGGCTTCCATCACATCAGTGAGCAGTGATGCTTTTTCACAGAAAAGTGCCAAAGTTGGGCAGAACTCCTGCCCAAGTGGGGCTTCAGGTGCCCAGTGGGGGTCTAAGAAAGACAGTCATTTTTGCTGCTTTGAAATCACATGATGGAGCCTATTGAGTTCTACATTTACAACTAGCAGAAGTCATTCAGCAGCACGCTAAAATCAGATTGCTGAATTTTTCCAGGTATCCTTACCATCCATATAATAAACATTTTCTCTCTCAAGGCAAATTTCTGTGTCCATATTACAGCCAGCCTGAATCCAAGTCAGTTTACCTTCGATGAGCACTGCAGTGGGTCAGGAGATTCATGAGCAGATCAGTTGTCCCTGCTTTGGGAGAGGCAACATCCATCACAGGGGTGGAGGGTGCAGCTGAAGGCTGCTACAATTTCAGCCATCCAATTTTAATCCACCGCCACATGTCTGTGAGAGCCTCTTGGCACTTTGGGCTGTGATTGCTATTGATTTTCAATGAGGATGGGAACTTAAAAAAGTTATATATACATTTCTATAAAAAAGATTACTCCAGGGATGTATACTTCTGACTGCACATCACAATTTCTCATGCACACAGGACTACCCCATCAGGTCGCAAATGTCACCTTTACAGAAACAGATTGATTTCCTAAATTCCAAACAGCTAACACTTGAAGATTCTTACTATTCCTCTGGTTTCAGAGTTTTCACTTAGCATACAATCTGAAGACCCATAAGGTCTTGCAAGTATGAATAAACCTTGACAATTGGTAACAACTTTGAGGAGAACACCATGTGACTTTCAGAGTCCAGAGAGCCTGTACTCCTGGCAGCCTAGGTAAAATACTGTTTGTATTTGTGGGCTGAGGCATTATCTCCTTAAAACTTACTAAGCATAGGAGTCCATGGTTAAGGATGGGTACTTGATTTTACAGTTCAACCGCTACACCTACTTCTACTCTTGTAGAAAAATGAAACAAAACTAAACCTCCAAAACAAGTAAATAAACCTATTCCACTCAGACTCATTAAGGTGTAAAAGAGTAATTTTCTGTATTTATGTTACTTCATAACTATTTTATGTATAACAGTCTTATTCTGCCAACAGGAAAAAAAATAACTAAAATATTTAGTGTGCAATGCCATTTTAAGGCTAGGCATATTATAAGCAGAGGGCTAGTCACGATACTAAAAAAAGAGGTTGTTCACTTTTAAATGATAATATTGTTGCTAGGGCAATGCAGTTGGGATGTGAGAAACCTCAGTGCAGTCTACTCTAAATGAGAGAGCTGTTAGATTTTGACATTAATGGCTCCTGTTTGACCTATTCCACTTCACTTGGAATACTTAAATACTAATTAAGGAAGCAAGAAAGAGAAAAAATGGCTGTATAAATCGACACTGTATGTTAAGCTCCAGCTCAAGCCTTGGGCTTTAACCTGTGACCTTATCAATCCTCCACTGCTGCAATCGGACGGGCAGGAGTCTCAGCCTGATGTAAGCAGGGTACCGCAGGGAGAAGAGGACAAGGGATTAGAACCCTTCAGTGAAGAATTGGGAAATGGATATCAGATAATCTGCTGCATTTTTTTCAAGATCAGCACATCAGCCTCAGTGAGTCCACAGACCTGAAGGCATGGCAATAATCACTTTTTCCCCATGTGGGGAAAATTATTTCTACCACAAGAAAGGATTACACCTACACCTGTTGTTCAGGCGA